GCCATGCTTTTCGTTCTCGCCTTATAAACGAAATATGTTGTGAAAACTTTGATATAGATATATATATTTATATATATAAATATATATACATGCTTATAAAAGATATTACCCAATGTTAGAAATGTCTTCCTTAGTGAAAGTAGAATGATATAAAAACGTTTGTAGTGAACAGTGTAGTATTTTTGGTGGGGGTTTTTTTTTTGTTGCTGTTCTGGGAAAAGTTTTGTGCTCGAAAAATTGAGACTCGAAAGTTGAGATTCCTTCCACTGTATTGGAAGCTTGATTGGTCTTAAATCCTACAATTTCCATGCAACGATCAATGGCAAGAGCAATGAGAAGTACTCTTCTGTGGAAGTGATGAGTTGATTATACCTTACATCCATAAAGTAGTCAGATATACATTTTTACTTTTTACTCTAAAAAATCCTGTAAAGACGATGACAAATAGGAAGGGCTCACCGTGTTAATAAATAACCATTTCGTGACGATAGACCTACCCTCCCAGCCATGAAAGAAGAAAGCAATTCAGATAGTCCTGTTGTCTATTAAACAAAACTTGCGAGAACCAGTGGAACAAAATGAGCTCTCCTGTGATGATGTCTTGATTATTTTCCGGGTTTGACTGACATTACTGGAGTTTTTTCCCCTGGATATTCACTTCTTTTTTTCCCCCTCTCTGAAGAGAGAGTGTTCTTTGTTGAATCCATATCCTGCTCAAACTTTTCTTTCGAATGTATACAGTTCCTGGTGTTATACGAGTGTAATCAATATTTATATGATATGCTATTCATTTTTTTCACTTTTTTCCACAAAATGTATGTTCCCTTTTCTGTCCCTGTCGTTTTATTCAAGAAAAATTCTGAAATTACACAAACTGAGCCCCAAAATGTGAAATTTTGCGATTCTGTTAATTCTAATAAAGAATAATAAAGGAAAATAATCAGAAATTATGCAAAAAATGATCAAATTTTTCCAAATTATGCGGGGTGCATAAAATCATGGGGACAGACTTTTTATTTACGTATTCTTACTTGGTATGATTTGGGGAGATAAGTTTTATTTTTAGTTTTACCTTGGTATCAAGATTTTCCAACAGTAAACTGAACTTAAGATGTGAATGCCCAAAAAGAAGACGAATGAGCAGAGATGACAATACTACAAATTGTGTAATAATAACAATTTGGTTTCAGATTTGGCTTTCTTTTTCTGGGCGAGCTTTTGGTGGTCAGGAATTAAAAAATGTGACCTGATTTTAGAAGGGTAAAAAGTCGAGGAGAAAAATACAAGCACTCGCAGCATCCCAAAGATCATTAGGAATTAGACTTTTCCACTGTTGTTTAATGGTTCAAAGGTTTATTTTGTATTCCAAAGGCACCAGGTTTGAGCCTTATTAAAATCTTATGGGATTTAATTTTTTTTTTTTTTATTTTCTAGATACTGCTTTACTCGTGTTGTCAGTTGACATGAAGATGTAGGAGCTGCCTCTTGAATTGTCCATCCTTTTTTTAAAGGGCATTATGTACACAGAACCAAAACTAAACCACTCTTTTTTAAAATCTAGGGCAATTTTTGTACTAAGATGTTCTTACCTTTTGTGAATTCCAAATTGTAGCCATCGTTCTCTCTCTCTCTCTCTCTCTCTCTCTCTCTCTCTCTCTCTCTCTCTCTCTTTCTTTCTCTCTCTCCCTCCCTCTCTCTCTCTCTCTCTCTCTCTCTCTCTCTCTCTCTCTCTATTTTTACACTGCAGCCTCTATAACGACATCATTGGAACCAGAAAAAAAATGTTGTTATGGAGAGTTGTTATTATACAGAAGCAACCAAATATTACTAATGATATATAAAGAAAAAATCGGGACCCAGGTACTATGTCGCTATACAGAGGATATCGTTATATATATATGGAAGGTCGTTATAGAGAGGCTGCTTTGTATTTTTTGTAAAGACATTATCTTGCTTTATTGTAAACTTTTGGAGATTGATTGCATTTAGCTGTTACTGTTTCTTCATGAACAAATTGTGTTTTGTGACTCGAGATCTCCGAGAACCTGCTTAATTTTTACCTTAGTTTGTGTCGTTGTTGTTGTTGTTGTTGTTGTTGTTGTTGTTGGCTGGAGGTTGCTTTTGGTAGGTTATATATATATATACCGTGTCTGCTTCTTCTTTCCTTGTCCTGACTGTGTGTTCTCTCTGTGTGGAGTGGCACACAGATCTGAAGTTGAGCGCCGAGCAGAGAGAAATTTTTATCTAGTATCTCGGTCTCGGTCTTTCTACCGGGATGTAGAATTCCTATCAACCCGGGTTAGCCTTGTACTGAAAGAAAGACAGGGTGAGAAGCCTGCCTTCTGATTGGTCGAAATTGTGTCGATAGGGGTGTAAAAAACACAAGACCTGCATTTTAAAAAAAATTATTTCACTATATGACTGTTCTTGATTCCTCTTTTTTCATTGGCTGTGATCCTCAGCAGGTGTTTCCGTTCCAAGATAATGATAATAAAAATGCGTATAATTTCTAAAGTGCCCACTACCGTACTGTTCAGCTCTAGGTGCTTTGCAACTCTTTCATCTTTACACAAAACACACATCAAAGATTGGCGCTCATATGACCTTATGCTGCTGCGAGCGCCGTAAAACCTCTACCAAAAAAACAACACGTCAATGAACATGCGTACATACACTCTTTAGATTAACATTAATACATAACGACTGCTCAGTGGGAGACTCTGTCTGCATGACTTCTCCGTGTGGCGTATGGCAGAGTCTTACAGTTTACACTGCGCAGTCGATAAGCAGATGTTCATACTACTACCACAGCACAATTGATGACGAAAAATGGACATTATATTACTGAACAGACTAGAACTATGAATGAGAGAAACTAAATGTAGCTTGTCTTTCTTCATGTCATGACTCTCTCCTAGTGTCTTTATACTCTAGAGTGGAAAGGGGTGGGACCTACCAACAGAAGCTCCCATCCGTATATTACTTAGAATTATGACAACTGGGGTTTTTTTTCATACTGAGAGAACAAGATTTTTTTTATTACTAAGAAAAGTGACAGATTTTTTTATTTTTAAAAAAATCATGCTTTAGTTTTCTGCACCTTTTGTTACCAGACGTTTTGTTAATTTTGTGAACAATGATAATCTGCACAACTCAATTTATGATTCGTGGATTTTTGAAGTTGCTTTAATCGTGT